GGAACTGAGCCCCAACCTCGCGATGGTGGCTAATGACCTTGGAGATGACTTCAGTAAGTTCAATGATTTTTACTCTGTTCATGCCCAGACTAACATGATCTAGGTCGTATTTCCAGTCCTTCATTCAGCTGAACAAACCGACTTCATCTCTCCGGCATTACTCTCAAACAAACCCGGGTCGATATAAACAACTACAACACCAACGACTCCTACACGTGCTATCCACGGCTTTGGCCTTCCACTAGCAGCACCCTCGCATCGTCCTTCCGGAACACCATTTGCTACTTCGACGTAGATTTCCTTCATTGTTCTGTATCATCAGTTGCATCTTCGGCGTTTCTTGGGGCTTTCTTCTACTGTACAATAAGAGAATGTACAATGGGCATGGCAGCGATTGCTTTCTGGGGATATAGACGGCGTTTTCATAGAAAGCAGGGCTACCTCATAGCCGGACTTTCATTTTGCGCCTTCCAGGCGAGATAGATGAGCATTGCGTCGATGCATTATTGGATTCGCTTCCATACGACATGTATCATAGAGTAGATAATGAGTAGCCACACTCGGTGGCTATGACAATCGCACAACTTCAAGTTCGAAAACATCTTGCGCAATGAAATTGGGCTGTGAGGAAGAAAGGTTCACGTTGATGGGATTGTTGAACTGGGTGTTCGCTCGCGTATCTGCATCTCTACCCCACGCTGCCTGGCCCAAGCCTTGGCATAGATAATGAGATTACTGTACCGCGTGGACGCGCCTACATGCTTGCTTCTGCTCCCCGTGGGTGCCTGTATCATATATGCGCGCATTCGCGTCGTAAGCAAACCTCCAGGCAGCTTTTTGTACATTCTCAAAATCCCTGATGACCTCGCTACCGACTCCCAGATCTCGTCTTTCGACTCGAGCATGACGTTCTCCCGCCCCATAGTGCTCGGCTTATGGACCCCGCAGCAGCAACTAGACGTTAGTCACAGAAACCCAAAAACAGAGTCACGCACGCGCACAGCATGGAGATTTTCACGGCTCAGAAAGCAACGCGCCGCCTAGTCAACCAGAATGAGCACCACCGGCGCGTCGTGCCCAGGCGCGAGCAGGCGACTGGTGCTTGTCACCAAGGTCTTCAGCGACCACGATTCCTTCTGGCGTGCAAAACGGAGCACAGTCCTTGAAAGTCTTGTCCTTGCGTCTGGCTTGCTGGTCGCGGAAGAGCCAAGAGCACGGTCAATATAAGAAGTGTTGTGACTGCCATCGCGTCATCACTTGGGCCTTGTTCAATCCCTCTCACCTTGACGCTTTGTACCCAAGTAACCGCCGCGACTTCACGGTTTGCGCCAGCGAACACACTCCTACAATAGCAGCCTGCTATCAATCGTGCCCCCAAAGCTCATTTCAACAACAATTCGCCCAGGATGACCACTCGACCGAACGAGTACCAGCGTGTTGCGTCGCACGGGCGCGGAGGTGCTGGTAAGCCTACCTATACTTTCCTCTAGACGTGAAGCGCGACTCCGCGACACTTGCAGTGGAACAGCTGGGTCTGTATGTCTTTGCAGCGCACACCAGCGCGCAAAGACTGCCACCCTCTGTCGCATAGCCAATGCAGCCCTTGGAGTGCCTGCGATTGTTCACCAGCTTCTGCGTCCGAGCGACCACTGACGTTTGCAGGTAACATCGCAAAAGACGACCCTACCAACTACCCCAAGCCAGAAGATCTCGTCACCCCAACCCTCAAGTCCAACACCTACACCACGGGCCGAGGTGGAACTGGAAACATGGCGCGCAACGACCCCGAACGTCCTGACCTTGCGCGCGCTGCCCAAGACGTCGAGAGCAAGCCGCACCCAGAGCCACAAGGCCCCAAGCACTACGGTCGTGGAGGTGCCGCCAACATTATCGGTGATGGACAACCCGCGCAGCGAAAGAGCGCCGAGGCTAAGCGCAAGAGCGAGGACGAGAAGCGCGAGGACAACGGCAAGGGCCTGCTCGGCAAGGGCAAGGATTTGTTGAACAAGTTGGGCAAGAAATAAGTCTGACCTGTTCAGCGGTCAACGACATCATGCTACATTGTGGCCATGTATGATGCGCTGCCAACCTGGAGTAGTCGATGAGGCTTTCTGTTTCTCTTTTACGGTTCATGATATCCCCGGAATTGCAAGGCTTTTGGTCTGTGGGCGGAGGAGTTGGTGTATCTTTCTATGATTTTCAACATTGTCTAACCTAACTAGCATAATGGTATTCAGTTGCTTGATCATCCTACTGACTGCCATGCTTGGCTAATCAGCTTTTCGATGCGGCTGCCATGCCATTCTTTCGAGATAGCGTGCTTTCTCATCACGATAGTGTGTTGATTGGGCGCCCATGCATACTACGCAGGCGTCTTCCAACGGCCTGAGAGTGCCCAAGTATTACATCATCACATGGCCGATCCCAACATTCATACAGTCCCTTCACCGCTTACATACGATTTGCGCACTAATACTTGCTTTTCTCCTCTCGTTAGCACCATCGGCAGTCACTTATTTTAAACCTCGCAAAATGCTTTGATAGGACGATGCTGGTATTCCGCCCATAAAGGGTCTTCGGCAAGAGGCAAGCGTCATGCGCGGGGGATTTGCAACCCGGGACAACCACCCACAGCGGGGCACTCATCCTTCTACTGTTCCATCAAGACAGCGTCATGCGCATGGTCTGAATGCACCTTCTCGAAGCCTTGCACTGCAGTATCGCCATGCGAGTCCCAGGAAAGGTGTTCCGAGCGAATGTGTCACTTCCAACTGCCGATTCTGACGAGCACACCACCACATACGAGCCGCCCTCTACCAACGTGGTGAACTAACAACCCATACCAGTCGCGCTCAACTCCGGCATCCGATGGCTCGGTACGCTATCAACGCAGTGCGCCGCTCCTCCATCACCTGGTATGGCCCTGTCTTTATGGAGGGTCGTCCGACCGCTACACTGTGGCTGCAGATAATGCCTCATTGGGATGCATGCTTTTGGTGGGGGTGACGTAGAGAGTCCAGCGAACGTTCAGCTGATATGCGAGACTGTCGAGAAGAGAGACCATCTACGGGGTTGAAACAGTACTTTGATTCGCGCAAGAGGTAGACAGACGCAGTACTCCAGAGTACGCGAAGCAGTTCGCATAGAGCAGCCTTACTGTACTCTTCCGCACCCTCTCGAGGTCCGTATATGCACAGCATCGGTCCTATACCAGCTCCGGATCTTGCTCCGCTTCACACTGTCCAGACATAGGCAGGTAGTCCGGTGAGCGGCGATAGACCTGCCCGGCATGCGCTCTTGTCCGAGGGCGTGAACCTCGGAATCTTGGGCATGATGACACCACACCGTTCATGCGTAGGTATGTGGTTTGTCCAGCTTACGACAACTACGCCTCATTGTACGACGTGGGCTGGCACGATTGGTCTGTAGGAGCTCTCGTGCAGCCTTCAACTTAGCCGACGTTTTTCTTCCCAGCTGGATGTGACTCGGCTTATGGTAGGATGAGTGTCGGCTTGCGTATTAAGGTTGCGGTACGTCCCGCTGCAGTGGATTACCGGTTTTGTATACCTTTTTGCATTTCGCAATCTCTTGCTGCTTTATATGAATCCACTCCTCAAAACTATCTGAGCAGCAGATAGTTCATCATTCATCACATTATGTCGACTACTACTACCGGGACGTACGCGGATACATGGGTTCACTACCATGATGGTGGTGTTCCTGGGCGAAGACCAGTTCTCAAGGGCACCGCTGCTAAAGAAACTTTCACCGAACTGCCAAAAATCGACTTTAGACGCATATACTCGGACAACTTGGAGGACAGAAAAGAGCTAGCCAGAGAAGTCGGCGCCGCATGTCGAGACATAGGCTTCTTCTACGCAGTGAACCACGGGGTGGACGATGATGTACTGGAAGACACTTTCGATGCGTTGAAGGAGTACTTCGCATTACCAACCGACGTCAAAATGGAGACACACAACCAGAAGACCGAGAAGTTCAGGGGTTACGAAGCGTTCTTAGAAGGCAAACTCGACCCAAGTACACGAGGAGGTAACGTCTTCACTGCCTCCACCCCCACAACGACTCATGCCTCTAACACCACTATCTAGATCTAAAAGAAGGCTTCCTAATGGGCGAAGACTTCACCGACTCAGAACAACTCTCCCTCATCTCCTCGCTTCCTCCCTCCCCACAAACCCCGCGCAACCAATGGCCCAGCCACCCGTCCGCCCTCTTCTGGCGCCCAGCCATCTACCGCTACTACAAATCCATGTTCGAATTCAGCAAACGCATGCTCCACATCTTCGCCCTCGCTCTCGACCTCCCCGAAGACTACTTCGACACCATAACCACACACCCAATGACCAACGTCCGCGCCGTCCACTACCCACCCCAAGAGCGTCAAAGCGACGTAGGAATCGGTGCCCACACAGACTTTTGCTGGTTCACGCTCGTGTGCCAATCCAAAACCGCATACCCAGCTCTCGAAGTACTGAACGCGAACGGTATCTGGGTCCCTGTCCATCCCCAACCCAACACGTTCGTTGTCAATATTGCGGATTTCCTCAAGTTGGTTACGGGCGGCTCGTGGCAGAGTACTGTGCATAGAGTAAGGAATATCGGCGGCGAAGAGAGGTATAGTATGCCGTTCTTCTTTAGCCCAAATGAAGATGCAAAGGTTAGTGTTGTGCCGCATTTGAGAGAGGAGGGGAAGCGGTACGATGAGTTTGGCGTTGGGGAGTACTTTCAGAAGAGACTGGATATTGATCGGAGGACGCATTTGGATGAGGGTGAGAAGAAGGTAGAAGTGGAAGTGGAGGAGAAGCCGAAGAGGCCAGTGAGGGAGAGGAAGGACAGTGGTCTTTGAGGATAGTAGCCTGGCGAGGATGAAAAGTAGGATCATTTGTAACTGACAATGGGGTTGTTGTGATACCCATGAACTACACATTATAGACAGGAGAAGATGCCACATTTCGTAAATTCATAAGACCATACCATCATCAGGCATGACCATTCCGCCTCTTCGCTTCCTCTAGCGCCATTCGTAATCGATTTTCCTTCTCTGCGTCCTCGCTACTCTTTCCCATCTTCCTCTGCACCAACTCTCCGATTTCAGCCTCATCGCTATCCAGCACACTAACCCTCCTTTGAAACTCCTCCAACAAGTCCTTCTCTGCTTCCCTCTTCTCAGCCTCCAATTCGAGTATGCGCGCTGGATCTACACCATCGGCTGTCACTTGCGCAATCTCCGCGTCGATATCGGCGTTATTGGATTCAATCTCCAGCGCATTGAAGAGGGAGAGAAGCGCTTTTGATGATTCCTTCAGAGCCTTAAGAGCGGTTCGTGCATCATCGAGGACCGCTGGATCACCGCTGCCATCCTCAAGGTCCTTGATAGCTGCAACGATGTGGTCAATTTCTTTTTGCTCAGTGCTGACTGCATTGACAATCATGTCCTCGACAAGGCGGACAAGTTCGCCTACACGCTCCGCCTTCTCGCGCTTAGCTTTGAACACAGCTTGCTTTTCAGCGTTGTCGTAGTGTTTCTCCACGGTTTTCATCTGGCTGATGTTGCCAGCAGCGTACAGAGGTTGTGTCTCCGTCTTCTTGTAGCGTCTGTCGCGCTCTGCAACGAGTTGTACGACATCGTCGTGTCTCTTTTCCACTTGCTCGTGGATTTCTTTCAGGAGCTCGAAACAGTCTTTTGTGCTTGGAGCATCGGTTCCCTGCATACTCTTTAGTCCTGTTACGAAAGACGGTAGTATGCGCTTAGTTTCGATGTGCAAGTCCATCAGGGCTTTGATCTCGCCGTGGAGCCCGGTGAAGATGGGGTCGAATACGGTTTCCACATAGTCACGATATTCCTCTTTGTCCTCTTGCGCTTTGAGCTCTCCCTCCTTCTGCTTGAACTCTTCCTCGAGCTGATTCATCTCCGCGTACGATATCTCGTTGTTGTTGAACAGATCATCGTTGTGCTCCTCGTTTTCTTCTTGACGCTTGCGACGGGCGTCGTCCTTCTTGCGGCGACTCAGAGATGCAGATTTCTCCCATGTCTTCGTAATTTCTTCGGCGGCGCTGGCTTTGGATCCTATGTCAACGAGCCTAGCCCTTATATCCTGAATCCGGTGATTTGGAAGGCCGGAATGCACCTTTTTAGATACTAGTTCCTTCAGCACTCTGTTTGGATCTTCTTTCGTTGGTGCAGTTGAGATCGGACGGCGCGGCGTCAGATTCAATGGCAAAGGGACGTCTGCTTCGCTACTGGAAGGCCGGGAGGCAGGCGTCTGAGCAGTCGGTTGATGAGCTCCAAAGAATATCTCATCGTGCCCCTTACTGTTGCTACGGCCTGACGGTGAAGTTACTCCTGGCGTATTAGAGAAGGACATTGTTGGTCTGTGTCTCAATGGAGCAGGGTCAACTGATATGCTAGCAGGTGGGACATATGCCTTGTATTGGTGTTGCACCTGCTCTTCAGGTGGAGATTGCACTGGCGTCTTGTTCGTATCGTCATCAATGGAGCTGGTCGGAGTCAGGATGGTTGTTGATTGCACCGAAGGAGGCGCCCTTGGAACACCCTGGTAGTTTTCTGTAGGCGGAATTGTAGTTTGGCGCGCCAAGATAGGTCTACCACCAGGACTATATTCATAGTCGTCGAATTCAGACTCCTGTGGCACCTGGATGTTCAGATCCTGTCTCTTAGTGGAGATGTTCGAGGTTGCACGAGAGCGAGCAGCTTGCTCTGGTTGGTGTGGTACCTCTGGCTCCACTGGAACTGTTTGTGTTGAGATATCAGTGGAGACGATGGCCCGCATGGCAGACTCGACTTTCATGAACGCCTTGAAAATCTTGACCTTCTCTTCGACTTGCGGTTCCGCGGCCTCACTACGAAGCATGGCTATGTATCGTTCTAACGAGCCGATATACCACGGATCAAGGTCCGGTATCATATCAGCAGGTGTGGGGTTCGGCGGTTCTTTCGCCTTTTCGGCTTCAAGTTGGCGCTTTAGTTCAGCGACAGAACTATCACGCTCCTCAATATTGTGCTCCTTCCCTTCCACATCTTCTTTCAAAATGTCAATCGCCGTGTTCTTCTCCTTCACCATAGCGTCATAATTGACACTAGCTTGGTCTGTGGTGATTCTTATAGTCTCAATCTGTGCACGTAACACGTCCATCTCGCTCGTGCTGTGAGCTTTCTTAGCTTCGTACTCAGACACAACTTTCTGGCTGCTAGCTTCAAGTTCATCGATCTTTGCTTGTAGTACGGCCTTTTCCCGTTCTGTGTCTGTGTGTAACTGTTGGAGAACATCATCCTTCTCCTTCTTCTCCCGTTCCGTATCTGCGCGTAATTGGTTGATAAGGTCGTCCTTCTCTCTCAGTTCTATAGCATAGTCGTAGCTGGAGGGCACCACGCCGGTGGATTCATTACTGGCTTGTGACCCAAAAAAATGCTTCGGTTGGGTAGGTGTGTGTTGCGACGTGTCCCATCCGCCCTCTGTAGAGCCAGACCCAGTCATCAACGCAGCAGGCTGATGAGGGGGTTTCGTGCCCTGTATGGGTTTGGGAGTAGTCCGTAAGGGCGCGACAATTGCATCTCCGACGATGAACCCTTGATCTGATGACTGGGAATCTTGACGTACAGCAAGTCCTGTTGCCACAGACGGCGGTGTAGGTGTAAAACCTTCATCCCATTCGCTCGAACTCACGTGTGCAGGACGTACAGCAGGACTGGGGAACCCATGCGTCGATGGGGGAGACGGAACGTGAGCGGGTAGTTCAATACTTTCCGGTTGAGTACTGTCGCTTTTCTTATCTTCTTTCTTTGCACCAAAGAGTTCTTCATCGTCAATTTCCTCACTGCCACCTAGGTGTTCCCAATCAGAAGGTGCACCGGCAGCCAGAACACTAAACTTGGACTTGTCATCTCTAGGTGGAGGTGACGCGGGTAGCTTCTGTCCGAGAGGTCTTGGTGAGGATGTCTTATTCTCTGCGCGTTGTGCATAGAGATTGGCCAAAGCTATCGAGCTCACCGAGTCGGTGCGCCCAGAGATAGGCTGGTAGCCAGAGGCGGAGCTCACACTAGGCCGATTCGATATCGGAGACACAGGCTGACTCTGCGGGCTTGGTTGATGGTAGAAGTTTGACCCAGCAGTATCGATTCGATTGTAAGGCTTTGTTTCTTGGCCCTCCTGGTTCGAGATCTGGGAATATTGCTGCGGTGGAACTGGTTCTTGCGCTTGGTACCCTGTTTGCGAGGGTGGTGGCTGAGACTCGTATGTCTGCGGTCTATTGTATTGATAATTAGGCTCTGGGGCTGGAGATCCAGACTGCCATGAGTCCTGAGGGCGAGGATGTTGTGGAGAAGGCTGCGCTTGTTGGTCGTACAGAGACTGTTCATATATTGTCTGTGTAGGTGGTTGCTGCGACGGCGCTGGGGAATATGAAGGATGCCCAACCGAAGGTTGCTGATATTGATGCTGCTGCGGTTGTGGGAATTGATCCGACGGCTGCTGATGCTGGTTGGGTATCTGCGATTGCGGATTGTATTGGACGGGCGTGGAATGACCATACTGAGATTGGTGATGGTTTTGTAGAGGAACAACCTGTTGGCCATGCCGTGGAGGTAGAGGCGGAGGTTGCTGCTGCTGTAGACCATGATGTCCATGTGCATATGTGTTTGTGTCTGTATGTGGTGTAGTATGGGTGTAGTTGGCCATGCCGCCTTGAGGTGGCGCATGCTGTGTCTGCTGCCACGAAGGAGCTTCTGGTGGGGGAGAAACGTATGCGCCGGCTGCTGGGTTTGTGTTCAAAGACGGGTACGCTTGTGTACCCTGTTGTGTGTATGCCGGCTGCTGCGCGCTCTGGTTGTTAATTGCAGTGGGTTGCTGTGACCCTACTGGTGGGTATGAGCTGACATGGCCTGCCCCATAAATGGAGCTGGGTCTCCCTCCCTGCGAAGACTGGAAGTATGTTGCGCCCGGAGTGGTTGAAGGCGGGGGAGGGGCTGCGTGGTGATATGGCTGTTGTGGTGTTGCTTGCACCGGATATTCTCCCTGCTGCGTATGAGGCGCAAAGCTGGTGCCTGATTGCGATTGATGTGACCAGTTCTGCTGCTGTTGCTGTTCGTGCCGTTGGACCGCCGCTGCGAAGCCGTAGGGTTTGGGTGGAGGCGGGGGAGGTTGCTCTTGTTGCTGAGGAGGGTATGATTGATGCTGCGCCCCCGGCATGGTGCCATACGTGCCCGGATTATATCCTGCGGCTACCTGCTGTTGCGATTGATTCCATGGACTCGACGTGTGTGTCGGCGTGGGCGCAGCCCATTGACCGTGGGCTGGGGGAGCGGACGTTTGGTATCCCTGGGAAGCTGTACCATCGTGTCAGTGCCTCGCTCTGGAACTGTGTGCTATCATGCATCAACATACCTCCATATCCAGGCGGCGGTGGCGGGACTGGTGGAGGGGCGCCCTGCTGGCCTGTGAAGCCCGTCGTGCTGCCTGGCCGCTGGTATCCTGGTGCTTGCCCGTAGTTCTGCATCGTGTGGTTTCTTATCGCGTTATCGACCAATACATGTGTCGCGCGAGATAGCGGATCGTGTCCGTCGGGAGTGTGGGCTCGAGATGCCAGCTGAAGTGCCTGTGTGTATTAATAGGCTCTCCACGAGTGTGACATGCACATGGACGGCACGCGCTGGAATGCGATCACGGAGGCAATTGCGATGTATCGGATGACATTGATGAAGGTATTAAGTACAAAAAGGCGATACTGAGATACATCAAACTGGGCCTCGTCTACCCAGCGTAAGGCTGAAAGCTGAAGTCCAAGTGTGCAGAAAGTGGAATGGTGTCACAGCCACGCGATGATCTGCACGCCGCGGTTCGTCCCCGCCCGGGCTTCGCCTTGCCTCATGTGACATGGTTCCTTTACAACGATCATCGCCATTCAAGTCTTGCTCTTCCGTCTTTGATCCGCGATATACGACAGAACATACTCCACGTCCATCGCGATCGCCTCTAACGTTTCCTTCTGCTGGATACCCTTTGGTGCCTTTTTTGTCATGCCCCCCGCCGTACTCAACGTCATCTGCGCCATGTCAACAACATTAAACTTGAATGCAGAATATGAAACTTACCATATCCCAACGATGACGGTCGCTATCGGGCGACTCTGCTTGCCGCGCAGCATCCCCATCGACACGTGTTCTTGATGCGCCAATCAGCCTCTCCAACGAGACGTAGATTCCTTCTGTCAGCTTTTTCCCCTGTCGCTGCTTCTGGTTCGCGTCAGGTGTTGAGTCTGGCCCGATATTCGACGGGAATCGGTAGAGTTGCGAAGATCCTTTCGTTTCCATCCGGCTCCTCTCTTGCATGATCTTGACATTGCCAAATGATGCATAATCGATTGGAAGCTGTACAGTAACAGACGAAGCGAGCTCGGAGAGATCAGCATTGTATGTGTTCATCGTGACTATCAACGCATGAAAGACCCGATCTTGTAATAGGCTCAAACCGGCTACCTTGGGCATCATATGGAACATTTGCGATACTAAGATGTGTCAGCAACGGCAGACTGTCATGTAACGTACGCAAGAGGGCACTCACTGAACATTTCCACGCTATGAACCTCCTTGTGGTGATTCACAGCTCTCAACGCTTCTCCAGGATCCCATCTCAGTAGCTCAACCGCATCGAAAACACTCGGGGTATATGCAGCTTCGTTACGGCTGTGATCTTTCGCCAAAAGATCTCCCAATTCTGAGAACTTGACATGAGCGTTGCTGTGGGTAGAGGTTCTAGCCATCCAACTGGCTTGGTTCAAGTCTTTGATACGCTTCTCAACCGAGACTGGGACTGTAACCATATCGCTGCTTCCCGTAGCACTAAGCGGCGGCATCATCACATGTCCATTGTCGGGGCTCCAGGTTCCCCGCTTCTCGAACCCTTCATCGAAGTTGATTCTTTGTACCTCGCTGAGCACATCGTCGAGGAACTCGGCTAGAGTGACATGATGATCTGAACTAGCATTATCATATGACGGGTGATGAGGCAGATCGAGCTTCTTCAGGGGCTTCAAGGTCAGATATTTGCGTGCTGGTCCTGATGTGGGAGAGGTAGTGATGTTACCAGGTGTCGGATTTGTATCAACTTCCTGGCCAAGATTGTTTGGGGGTTGCACTGGCTTAGACTGAGCAGAATCTCTGACTTCGACGGGCTCAGTCATGGTGGCGATCCAAGTAGCGGAGCGGAAGTCTTGGAAATATGCAATGAGCTACAACAGGTAATCGAAGCGGGATAGCTATAGCTGCTTGGTGGCTGACAGAACAGGTGCGTCGAAGGTCTAGACCACTGTAATGCAAGAACTAGTGTAGGACAGCGAGTAGGTGACCCGGCTATCAACACAATAGTTAGCATTGTTACACCCCAGTCACGGCGCCTTTTTACGTACATATTTCGGGAAGCCACAGGCTTCTTGCAAGGAAGATATGTGGCGAATGTGATCCGTGTGATTGGTCTGACACGCCAAATTCAGACCTCGGGATGTGCAGCGATGGTCTGGAACTGCCTAGAAGTATGTGCACAGAGATTTTAGTGCAGTATGGAGGCAAATCGATGAATGCCAAGCAGAAGTCTGATGGTGGACGTGATGATAGAGATGGAGTCGTTGCACTGGAACGGGAGATCGACAAGGGTAGATACGGCCCTGATTGGCTCGTTCCTGCCTGTGTGACACTACGATGTGCTAGCTGAAGCAGCAACCTGAGAAGCGTTTGCCATGAACTACATAGTAGCTGAAAGAAATACGAAATCTGGTTGCACGTAGCTCGAAACTAGGATGAAAATTGGGCTTCGCGTTTTACGAAATACATGCCAGTGACACGCAAGTTACGGGTCCAGTGCTCAGCAAGTCAAGAAGTACGACGGGTCCTCCTACCTATCTACGCTAGTAGCACAAGAACACTGCTACCTGGGACTCTGAGGGTCTTCCTTGTACTCGTCGAGTATCACAAGCGCTTGTAGAGGGCCTAGGTACGTCGGGTACAGCGTCGAGAAGGTCAACTGCTGCGAACCCGGCACGTTAGAGTGGTGTGTGAACCCAGGTACCGAAGCGAGCCTTCCTCGACATGCTTTTGATGCCTTTGGGTGGGATCAGCTGCACAATCTGGAAACCTGCAGCGATGCACGAGTTCGGGACAGCGGTCCAAGCATAGGTACCTACACAATCAACACGTGAAGCAAGAAAAGCAACCCTATGCCAGTTGATGTAACCATATCATCAAGATGAGAGCAAAATGAAGAAAGTGTGTAGACGCGGGCCGATTTCCAGTCCAGCATGCCGATCCAGACCAACTCGGCTGCCGACCTGTCCTGTTCACGCTCCGCGGACGTCATAATGATCAGAACAACTACTCCACGGAGCCCACAGCCAACGTCTGTGTCTGCAGGACCCTCTTTCGCGGCAATGGCATGATCCCTCGTTCCAAATATTTGGCTCGACTAACTTTGACTGGTCAGTCGAGCTGCAACTTGTTTACTCCACAGCACCTGCATAATGCACAGATGTCTAGTACACCCTTGCGCTTTATCTTTGCCCTTTCGAAACGACGTGCCGAAATGCTAATTTTACCATGTCAGGATGCATGCGGATGCGAGAATCACGCAACACATAATCAGCTGTTTTCTCATTGTGGAATATCGCAAGATGCTTTGTCTTACTCCGAGGAAGGGCTAATGCCGCGGGGGCCATGCAGAGCGCTGTACGCGGCAGATGGACAGACTAGGGTCCCGGTGATCGACCCTGTATCCGAGCGAGCGCCTTGCGGACGGACATCGACAAATGCGTTTGTAGGACTTAGTTTTATTGCAGATTTGGGGTCCTGCTGCCTGCCATGTCAGGAGGCTTGTGATGTGGGTGGGTGGGCTTACTCCATTGCTTTGGCTTGCCGTCGATCTGCAAGCGCGACGGCATAAAATACCGACGATTTCTATTGTCGCGGGACATCGTAGCATCTGCCACGTGATTTCGGTGGGTTTGCTCAGACCCTGGCCATGTGGTGCCAGATTAGCATGCCAAATCCTCGATGTTGACAGACATGGGTAAACCCCCCAAAATCCACTCAACACGCCATGCCAAGCGCATGATCTCGATGTCGCTCGGGACAATTGACCGAAACAGATCCACTTGCGCACATGTACTGTACTCCTAGCTCTGGTTGCAGGCTGCAGTGGCGAGTTAGCTGCTGTCGGGTGCATGCTTTCCATTGGGCGCTATTGAATCCGCCGTATGCGAACATTGTTACCGCCTTGCACGACTGTGCGCTTCTTGATCCCAGACAGGACTGACTGCCAATCACACCACATCATGCAGTTGATGGAATAATCCAGACTGCCGTTCAGACCAGCTGCACATGCCCAGGTGTTCGAGATGGATTAGGCAGTGTCATTCATGCGAATAGATCTAGATTTCCTATGTACATCCTACACGCCTTCCTTGCCCTTGCGCACACGCTGCACATGCAGAGATTCGTGCTCCTTACGGCATTAACCGTGGAGGCTGAGCCTTTCCGAACTCTAGCATACAAGGACAGGCTCTCTGTATGCACGTAGCGTAATCCGAACGGCGCGTGCGTTGCGGACTTAGAAGGGCCGGTAGTTCATCTCCAACACTTCAATCCTCGAGGTAGGGATCCATCCTCCGTATAATCACTTGGTATTCGATAGGCCAATAAGTGGACTGGTTGCGTTGGGGTATCATCTCGAAATAGCAAATAACATATGAAAACGTAAAGCGTCCCCGCGCATGCTCACTTGGCTGGTGCGCGGTACACGCATAGCAGTCATGTCGTTGCTGACGTCTCGCAGCGAAACAGTTTGTGGTCGCATGCGGTATGCACTACCCACTGGAACGGGCCATGCGGACTGCTCATGCCGAATCATGTACTGTAACATTGGTATAGCGTTCAAAAAAAGAATCAAGGTGAGCTTTCGGTCTCGACCATGTCGTCGTCCACTGCTCTTGATGCCAGTTCTCCTGCTCTTACGAGGACCGCAAGTGACCCCTGATTACGATAGTCATGGGGATTGTGCGAGAGGTGTGATGGCATGGGCGGTATCGGCCGATCCAGTGGCGAGGCTAGGGGTGCTATACTGGGCACTGGCTGGGGAAGCATGCGCATCGTCTTACTCGGGTCTGCAGGTAATGTCTGCCCAGGATAAGCCGACAAGGTGTACCCTTGAGATCCTTGATTGCTGTGACCACTCTCGGACGACAATGTTGTATCTTCGTGACTGAGAGGGGGGAGACGCGAGGAGTCGCGCGGAGTCCTGCGAGAAAGCATGTCGTTTGGCCCCTGAAAGTGATTTGGGTGGGGATATGGAGGTGGTGGAGTCGATGCAATCTTTTGGTGGAGGTCCAGGTTGTACGCAGAAGGCTGATGGTACGGATTGGCATCGAAGGGGATCCTCGTTTCTCGAATGGAATTGGGTACGGATGGGTCATAGACACCGCCATCTCTTTGCAAGACCGTGGTCCGTGGAGATGCAGATGTGGGGGAGAATTGTTCGCCCGAACGGGGGGAGTTGAAGCCAGAAAGGGGAATATTGGCCGGCGATGTCGAGTTCGAAGCGTAGACTGGACCAGGTGGTAGCCGTGAAGGGGGGATTGGTTGGGTGGGATCCGGTTTTTGTTGTAATGCTGCTTGGGCATCGGACTGAATAGAACTCAATCTCCTGTTTGCCGGTGGGTCGGCCTGTTCATTGCTACCTCCTCGTGTTGAAGTGGTGGTTTCGGTTTCGAGCTTTGAGCGTTTGCCTTCTGCACGTGTCAATACATTGCGGCACATGACGACGGAAGCTGTGGACAGACCTTTAGTGGGCACTGAGTGCTTCGACTTGAAATCTTCGAGATACTTTTGGTACGCTTCGAAATGGGGCGTCTTCTTGTACTCAGCCAGCTCTGCATAGTATTTCTCTTTGGCACCATTGGCCTGTCGTTCACAACCTTCGCGTTCCTCGGCAGGCAAGACTTGCCATTTCTCACCGACTACCTTGGCAATCTCGGTGAAGGTAAGGTCTTGTCCCTTGAGTGACTCTCGCACCTCTGCTGCGGATTAGTCGTGATCGCGTTGGACCAGAGACCAGAGACCAGACTTACGATTGGAGAATATGACGTAAGCAGAGGGTGGACGTTCCGGTGCATGTTCATCAGGCTGCGTTGGGTTAGCGATGTTGCACGACATACGGGATCTGCAGAGTGGCCTACCTTGGGATGTCGACGGTACTTCCGCTTGGCCCCTGTTCCATTCGGTGCAGTATTGGTGGGCTCTGGCTGCTTGCTTTTGCTCTCTGGCCCCGAGTCGTCACTGCGATACGAGCCGGCAGTGCTCCCAGCTCGTGCAAGATTGATGGGCAGAGGCCTATCCGAAGACTGTCCGCGCGATTCGGCGATGGCCCGTTGAAGTTTCTACGAGGAGGTCAGTTGTTGCTGGTGGTAACGTCGCAGGATAGTGACGTACCCGACGATGGCCAAGCTTGACGTTGAGGGAACTTCTACGGAATAGTAAGCATGGGCGGCTTGGGTAGGTAGGGGTGGAGCCATTGCGCACAAGTCTGATTCTGTAATGTCGAGCACAGTCTCCCAAGTGTCGAAGCCTTCGGCTGTGAACACTTCGTGGTACTGGGACAGTCCCAATCGCGCGAGACGTTCTCTCAATTCGCTCATGTAGGAGGGCGTGAGCGCGTGGACTGGGCGGTGTGGTGTAGCGACCAACTCTCGAACAGCGCGGGCCAGAGAGGACTTGGTGTGTCGTAGATTATTAGAGCACTAGTGGCAACGGGGTGGGAATCGAGCGTGATCGAGCGGGCTCGAGTATGGCGGAACTAGTGTACAGGGATCAAATAGGAAATGCCTGGGTCGTGGGGTGGCTATGTGATTGGTGCGGCACGACGAGTGTGGCGGATCGACTCGTAACGAAAATCCGCGTAGGGGTCAAAGTGTTGCAGGGCGCAAATGCGCAGAGAAGAGCAAGAGAAGGAGCAGTCAACGACTAAGGTGCATCCATAAGTGGTGGCGCCTAACGTTGGGTTTGGGGTAGGTGGGTCCCGGACCGATCAGCAGAATTCTGTGATTATGCTGTGGTAGGGGCAGGGAGGGAGCGTCTCGGCTATTGTAGTGGTGAAGACAGCGGACGCAGCCTAGTAGATACGCGGCCAGGACAACGGCCG